GGTGTGATGGTGCACGCCTGTAATCCCAGCACTCAGGAAGCTCAGGCAGGAGGATCGTTGTGAGTTCGAGACCAGCCTGGGCTACAAAGTGAGCTCAAGGCAGCCTGAACTGCATAGCGAGACCCTGTCTCAAAAAGACACACACACAACAATAATAATAAAAAAATAAAAAATAAAAAAATAAAACTAACGAAAACACCTAAACTCTGGAGGTGAAGAAGGACACATGTTCAGCAGAAATTGAGGACAGCCAATTACAGCTTCCCAAATCTCAAACTGCAGTTTGAACACGAGGCAGTCTCATAAAAACTAGGTAAAGAAATAGGCAAAATCTGAGCCCGGCATGACGGGGCACACCTACAGTCCCAGCACTTGGGAGGCTGAGAAAGGAGGATCTCCACAAGGCCAGCCTGGGCTACACAGCCAGACCCTGTCTTAAAAATAACAAAAGTAGGCAAAAGACAATTACATTCAACTGCACCCGAAGTCCAAAAGAAAAGTGACAGAAAAACAAATTGGATCGTGACCTTTTACATTAATGGGGAGACCGTGTCCTCCATCAATCCTCGTCAGAACTGGAAAAGAGAGATGTGTGCAGAGCCCATCTGAATCATCCGAGGTTTAGAGTACAGTACAGGAAACGCGGGATTCCAGCTTCCAAAGTTATCCCAAGCGAGGAGACAGCCTCGCTGTCTGTGACTGTGAATAGCTAGGCAGTCCCTGTGAGTCACAACACAGGGATGTAAGTGAACACATATTTTGCTCCCCTCTCTGCTTAATGTAATTTAATTTTTATCACTTGTTTATTTATTTTGATATTTTGAGACAGGGTCTCTCTAGGTAGCCTTGAACTCACTGTGTAGCCCAGGCTGGCCTCCAACTCTCGGCGACCCTCCTGCCTCAGCATCCCGAGGGCCGGGATTACAGGCGTGCGCCACCACCCAGGGGTTTTAACGAACGGTTTACAAAGCCAGGCATATTAAATGTTTCTGCTCCTGCCAAGACGCCCCTCCTTGTGCAGGCAGGGTTCTGCACCTTACTGTGGAGCCGAAGATCCCCTTTCAAGCTGATTCCACGAGGGCGGAGGCGCACCGCGAAGGTTAGGAATGCGGACACCCGCGTCGCTCCGGCGGGCGGCGCGCGCAGGGCTAACCGGCCACCGAGACGTTACTGGCCTGGGCAGAAGGTCGCCGCCGAGTCCTCCGCCGTCCCAGCATTCCCCGCACCTATCATCGAGAGCGACTTCCGGCGTCGTGGGGGAGGGAGTGAAGGAGGAGCGCGCCCTCGCCGCGCCGTCTCGCGCCCTCGCGCTCTCTCCGGCATCATGGCGGGCGTGGAGGAGGCAGAGGCCTCCGGGAGCCACTTGAATGGCGACCTGGACCCGGACGACCGGGAAGAGGGAGCTGCCTCTACGGCCGAGGAAGCAGCCAAGAAGAAGAAGCGGAAGAAGAAGAAGAGTAAAGGGGCTGGTGCAGGTGAGGGGCTTAGGTTTGCCCAGCGCCTGCCGGGAATGGCCGAACGGCTCGCCGGGCGTAGGGCCTGCGGGGGTGGCGGGGAGCGGGCACCCCGGCCCCGGCGAACTCCCAGCCTTCCCGGGGCGAGTGGCGAGCCGCGCTGTGGGTCCAGCCCCGGGGGGGAGGGCTTGTCCCTCGGGGCTGGGGAGCGGGCGGGAGGAGGGGCCTCGGCGACCCGGATCGCCGCAGCTCGGGGCGGCGCGCCGCGGACCGAAAACCGTGCACGGAGCGCAGCTCCCGGCCAGTGTCCGCCGGCTTGGGCGGCTTGGGAATCCGGTTCTGACCCGCGCGGCCGCCGCTGCTGGGTCCACCTGCGGCGTGCGCCCTCCGTGCCCTGCCCGACCCCGCTGCGGGTTTCACTGGGGTTTGTGTTCAGGGCTGCGCTGTGGGGGTGGGTGTCTGCCCCTCTCCTGTCGCTGAGAATCGGTGGTGCGAGTTCTCACCGGCCTCGTCCCACGGCGTCGCCAGGCTGAGGGCCGTGAGCCCGCGTTAGGAGGCCGCCCGGGCCGCTCGGGCAGGGTATTCTTCGTGGCTCCCAATGGAGCATCCTGTGCAGGGACCTCGGAGTCCGCTGGTAAGACAAGGAAAGAAGCTAAAAGTTGACAGTTGGACCGTGTTATGAGCTAGGAATTTATTTATTTATTTATTTTTTGTCTTTTTTGAGACAGGGTCTCGCTGTGCAGTTCAGGCTGGCCTTGAGCTCACTTTGTAGCCCAGGCTGGTCTCGAACTCTCAACGACCCTCCTGCCTCAGCCTCCCGAATGCTAGGATTACAGGCGTGCGCGACCACGTCCGGCTCAGGAATTTATTTTTGAGAAATCATTTTTTGCTGTTGAACAAGTTCTTTCATTTAGGGTTTTTAAAAAAAATCTTACTAATTAAAATGAGTCAAGAAAGAAAGAAAAATTGAGAAGGCAGAGGTGATTAACGTGGAATTGAGAGAGGTTGAAGACTAATGTACTTCTTTATGAAATTTTAATTAGATAGGCGTGGAAGAGGGAGAGTTGTAGTTTTGCTGGTCTCTCGCAGGCCACGCTCTGGTGGCTGTTTGGCTTTCACAGGAAATCCAAAGTCTGCCCTTGGCCCGTGGAGGTGTGCAGCAGGCTGATCGCTGTATGTTTTGAACAGTTGTGTCTCAGTGTGGATCCCCTGCGTTATGCGTAGCTGGGATCATGCTTTCTCCCCATCCTACACTTTGCACATTGCTCAGGCTGAGCTGGAGTGTAGTCACTTCCAGAGCGAGGGCCTGGCCTTTGGTAAGGTTTTTCTGGTTTTCCTTCTGCGGATTGAACCCTGGGTCTCCGCAATTGCTAGACAAGTGCCCTACCACTGAGTCACGTCTTCACCTCTTTTTAATATTTCTTTTTTGCCAAGGTCTTGCTAAATTGCCCAGGCTGTTTGAACTTGCCATTCTCCTGTCTCAGTCTCCTGAGTAGTCCGGACAGGTCGTAGCTGAGATTACAGGTGTGCACCACTGTGCCCAGCTAAGGATTCCTATTTCAGTCATGGGTTGTTTTTCCTTATTCTGATTTATCCAGCCCGGCCTGACAACTTCTTTTTTTTTGGTATGGGGCATCGAACTCAGGACCTTGTGCTTGCCAGGCAGGCGCTTGTGCCGCTGAGCTATATCCGCTGCTGTCCCAACAACTTCTTTCTTCAAGAAGCTTTGAGCCTTACGCACGAATCCTGATCTTCACAAGGCCTCAGCTATTATAGCTAACTTTAAGTATCTATCTGGTACTTAAAATGTTTGTTGTAAGTAATCTAATTATTGAATACTTTTAAGGGTAGGAATCAACTCACGTTTTACCCTTTATCTCCTAGCATATGTAATGGATGTCATATTGAATGAATTAGCAAATGGACAATCCTACTTGTCAGTGCTCTTCTTTTTTGGTACCGGGAATTGAACTGAAGACCTTGTGCTTGCCAGGCAGGCGCTTATGCCTCTGAGCTATATCCCCAGCCCACACAATACTACATGTATGTGGAGGATTTTTTTTTATGTCCTGTTCCTGCTGCCTGCACCACTGGTGGTACATGCATGACTGTCCTGGCAGTGGTTCAGACCACCCAGAGAAAAGAACTTGAAAATTCTGCAGGATTGTTAGCACATATCCTGGTAGGAGGGTGTCCTTTTTATATTTGCTTCTGTTTTATGTGATCTGCAGGGCAGCAAGAACTTGATAAGGAATCAGGAGCCTCTGTGGACGAGGTTGCAAAACAGTTGGAAAGACAGGCACTGGAGGAGAAAGAAAGAGATGACGACGATGAAGGTGAGTGATTGATTTGGTACTTGTGATTAGAAAGGATAGAAAATGTGGCACTGTTTTAACAAAAGCTGTGCATTTGCCTATGTAATCTAGTCTGACATTTTATTTGTCCAGTTAATAACAATTAATAGCATATATGAAAAGGTGGGCCGGGGATTTAACTCAGTGATAAAGATCCTGAGTTCAAGTCCCAGCACTCAAAAAACAACAAAAAAAGGAAAAGGTATTAATTAGCAACTTTTAAAAAATGGTGGTAAAGTTTCACATTTATTGAAGATAGAGAAAAACCAGAGGGATAAGGGAAGAGCAGGCTTTGTAGTGTGAGTTTGGACAGAGTAAAAACAGAGGAAAAATTAAAATATACCCACTGGCCAGGGATGACGGTGCTCCCCTGTACCTTACCACTTGGGAGGCTGAGGCAAGAGGATCACCGTGAGTTTGAGGCCAGCCTGAAGTACACAACGAGACAAACAGAATATATCCTGCAGTGAAGGGTGGGCTGCTGTGAAGAGGCATGTTAGCCGCAGCTTCTTAGAAGTTGAGTATGTTAAATAGGTGCTCAGAGAGATAGAGCTCCACTTTGAAAAATGTATTTGGTGCAAGGCCAAGTTGGGGGTGAGTATTTTTTTTTTTTTTTTTTTTCCTGGTACCAGGAATCGAACTCACGACCTTGTGCTTGCCAGGCAGGCGCTGTGCCGCTGTGCTAAATCCCCAGCCCTGGGGGTGAGTGTTAACAAGATAAAGTTGAGGGACTGTTCAATTACTGAACAGCCAGTAAGTAATAGGGTACCTGGATGCCTACGTTCATTTTAACCTCACCAAACCAAGCAGAGGTGATAACCTCACTGTACAGATGCAGAGATGGTAATATGAGTTGCTTAATGTGACACAGCTAAATGTATGTGAAATAAAGCCAGAATTAGAAAGTCTGGTTTCAGATTCTAAGCTTCTTGTATTTTCTATGCCTTTCTTCATTCTTTTCTCTTTTTTCTTTTGGTACCGGAAATCGAATTCACAGCCTCCCCCTTGCCAGGCAGGCGCTGTGCCACTGAGCTGTTTCCCCAGCCCTCTTTTTTTTATTTTGAGACAAGGTCTTGCTATGCAGTTCAGGCTGGCCTTAAGCTCACTTTGTAGCCCAGGCTGGTCTCGAACTCGCAACGATCCTCTTGCCTCAGCCTCCCAAGTGCTGGGATTACAGGTGTGTACCACCACACCTGGCTTCTCTTTTTTTGGAGATAACATCTCACTGTATAGTTCAGGCTGGCTTTTTTTATTTTTTATTTTTTTTACTTTAAAGAGTAATGGGGGGCTTACCAAATTATAGACAGAGTGGTAGGAAATTATCAGTGGTTATTGTTTCACATATTGTTATCTACAAGATAGTTTCTCAGGAAAACATAGACAAATAACAGTGAGTTACAGACAAAAGAGGTAGG